CACACACCTCAGGGCAGGTGAGGCAGAGCCCGGAGCAAGCTATGCGTCCGGTTCCACCTGCAGCTGTCCTGCTCCCTCGGACACGCCTTCAGGGTCAGTGTCAGTGTCCGGGGTCCATCCTCTTGAGTTTTCCACTTTTGGCCTTATGACACAGTGACCAGGCCACGACCTGTCAGCTCTTAGGCTCCGGGAGAGTGTGAGCGAGCACACCCTGCCTCCTTCACCCCTGGAGCTCAGAGGTGAGGTCCTGCAGCTGGTGCAACTCCCGTGCTTTTGCCAAAGGAAAGGGTGCAATTCTCCTGGGGTGAAGGGAGCAGCCTGAAAGGAGACCCAACAGTCACTCCAGCCGTCACCTGCCTGCACCAAGTCTATCTCCCGACCCCTTCCAAGGTTGTCCACTGAGGCCCAGTTGCACAGGGGGATTGCTTATTGTTGTGACCCTGATAGTAACTACTTTTCTGATGTTGTGGTCTTTGATGAACTGAATGTCTGTGTCCCCTTAACATTCAAACACTGCAACCCTGCCTGGCCCTCAGCCCCAGTGATTGTAGTGGGAAGCAGGAGCTTTAAAACACTTTAAAATTTAAGGTCTGGGAAGCAGAAATGGGGTGTGTGGACTAAGCCCCTTACCCTTCTCCGCCAAGAGGAGGAGAGTGAATCAAGGCTGTTAGATTCCAAGACTGATGCCCGTTCAATACCGAAATACTGTATTCAGATTTCAAAGGAAAAGTGTGCTCTCCATCCAGAGATTGTCCTGAGTATTGACCAGGTAACTCCTCCAGTAAGCAGTTTAAGATAAAACTGAACCCAGCTTGCACACCAGTGTGGTAAATGAGCTCAAGTGCCTTCTACATAAATTATGCTGAAGAGTTTTGAAAATTGTTACTTTCTGGAATTGCTCCTCCGTACATTTTCCCAAGAAGTATCTGTAATTCGGGAGTATTTTAGGCTAGAGTTTTGGGCTAAGCACAGTATTTCAGTTATGTTGAGAAACTTTTCTGGGAATCTCTGGCAAACACTTTTACAAACCTTTACAGTGCAGGTGGCAGCAGAAGAGACCTCATCACACGGTTCAGTTGCGTTTCATTGATTTTTACGGAGGATCCTGGTGACAAACTTCAAAGTTTTCACTTGGCAAACCACAAGTCAATCAAAGCAGGAACCATCAGAGGGCCCCACATGGCGGAAAGCCACCCACCACGGACTACAGAGACCCAGAGGAGCCCTGACAGCCCCCGGCAGAGACCAGGCGAGCACACGACAAGCGTTCCACAGAAAGACATTTATTGGGTTTCAAGCCTTGCTTTCCAAATCGTTTTTCCAATTGGGGCAGTGCCTCTAGATGGTTTGACTCATGCACTCACCATTCTTCTGGAACCAAACTAAGATCGATGCTAGACATTTCCTTCTTATTTTATGGCACATGCATTTTGATTTCCCTCCTTCTGAGGATTACAGGATAGGATAACTCTAGAAAGAGGACACTCGGCAGTCTCACTGTGAATTGCGCCGATGGCCTGAAAGTGGACATGATATTCAGTTAGCATCCTACCATTGTCAAAGTGTCAACAACATTCATGACATAGAATCACATTCGCGGAGAAGGCAAGCGAGAATGAGACCCAGCCCATCGGCTTATGGCAGTTTCTATCTCAGCTCCATTAATGTCATGACCAGTGATGGCCCAAGATCTAGAGGTACAGAATGCCTGTGTGTCGACAAGTGGCACAGTTCAACTCTGCGAGAGAAACAGGGTGAGTCGGCAGCGGGAAACCACACCGCGCTCCGTACGGCCCCCGGGCCCAGGAGGATGGCCTTGCCCCAGACCCTTCCAGCCACTGCTGCTTGTCTAGCTCCGCTACAACCTCAAGATAGAATCCTGCTTCTATTTGCACCTACGCTCTCTTCAAGTGCTCTGTTTTGATGACGATTATTCGGCCAGCACAGTTTGCTCCCGTTTCTTCTGGAACCAAGCTAAGATCACGTATTGCCTTCCCAAATGTCAACACTCACTGTTGTTTGTCCTTTCCAGTTCACTGGCCATGTTCTCCGGGCCAGATGGGCCCTGGGGATGAGAGACGCTCAACACGTGTGAACTGGAGGCTGCAAAAACTGGAAAAATAAGGCCTACAACTGAGAAGCAGAGCCATGGGCCATTTTAATGTCTTCAACTTGGCGGGGGTCATGCAGGCTGAGCTCAGAGTGCCCCCCTGCAGTTCCCAGGGCCGTTGCAGTCAGGTCCCTGCCTGTGCACCTACTGGCTTTCGGTACAGAATGGATCACCTCAGTGTTCCCCAGACAGTCTGGAATGCCTGTGGCTGTGCTGACCCGAAGGTGGGAGGAAGGTGTGTGCTTGAGTGTGGGCCACAGGAACGGCCTAATGACCTCAGGAGGTGCATCATGAAGGATCAGCCACAGCAAGATGGTGACCTCGCCACTCGCCCCTTCACTATAGAGTGCATGAAGTTTGGCCAAGGGGCCTCCCAGATGCAGTGGCTCTACCTTCCCTGTGGTCAAGACACGGTCTTCTTTCCCCAGAAAGAAAGTTCCATTCAAACCTGCTGTTCAGGGGTCTTGATAAAATGACGACATGCAGTCCCTGCACAGGGAGCCAGTGACCGCCATCTCCGCCCTTCAGGGCTCTAGGGAAACCCCAGCCTGTCCCATTTCTGCAGCCGCCCTCTCCTTCCCTTTGCCCAGCTGTGGCTCACCCCTGACTCCTCCACCACATCTTCCTGCTGAGGAGTCAGGAAGTCTCGGGCCTGTGGTTTCTGCAGGGCAGCTGTGCACGTGTCTCCCTGGCTGCCGTTTCCTGTGTGTCTTGAGACGTGCCTTAACTCCTCTGATTGCCCATCTCTAGGAGGGAAGCGGACTGGGTGGGGAGCCAGTGGCTGAGTGAGAATGTAGAGGTCTGGGGATGAAAAGCAAGAATGTAATTACATGATAATTGCATTTTAACCTCTATAATTATTCACTCTGAGCAGGTCTCCAAGTGTGTTCTAATTAAAGCCTGTTATTGTGATATAAATTTCCTGGTACCGCGAAACTAGGGTGTTAAATTCATACAGCAGTCTTTGGTTTCACGAGCACTTTGCCCCCGTCATTTGAGTGGGTCTAGTGGAGTTTATAGCAGAGAAAGCCAGGTGCAGGTGGGTGATGTGACCCGCCAGAACCTGGGGCAGACTTGGGCTTCAGCCTCTCAATCCCAGGTGTTTTCCCCTGGTCTGTAGGTTTATCTCTCAAAAAATAAAGTTGAATTTTGATAGATGGGATGAACTTGGGAGCTGAAACGGAGGCCTGAAGCCTGGTGTATGTGAGTAATGGATGAGGGAGACTGTGTCCCCTCATGCAGCACTGGGTCATGTAAGGGGTGGGTAACAGGCCCGCTGATAAGTTCCTCAGAGCCTCCCCTCGGCCTTGGAAGGCCTTGGAGAACACGCCCAGGAACCAGGCGGTCACTGTCATGGCCTGGCCCGCGGGGAAGGCTGTGGGAGGGGCAGGGGTTTGGGAGCTGGGGAAGCATCGGAGTTGGTATTTTTCTCTTCCTTTGGATGTGCAGCCTCTGGCTTGATTTGCGTTCCAGCTGATTAATGGAGAATGTGAGATGCGAACATCTCCTTCCAGTGATCACCTTGCCGTCTGTCTGAAGAGGGATCCATTTTTTTGGCTTTGTGGGAACATAACCCCAGGACACAGGGCATAAGTCTCCTCTCCCACTGGGTCCACAGGGGGCATCTCCTGCAGAGGGGAAGAGTGAGGCTCCTGGCCAAGATATGATAGGACCAGAGTGCGGTGGACACAGGGTCCCCTAGTGTCCTGCCATGATGCAGGATGCCAGATAGGGACTCACAGCAATAGGCATGTTTTACGTTGTCACTGCTTTGAAATTTTGGAATTCTTTCTATTTAAATGAAAAATTGCTTTTCTTTCACTGAAGAATTGATTTCTTCTGTAGATTTCCAGCAAACATAATGGAAAGGCTGAGCAAAATAACCCAAATTCCAGGTGCACTGAACGGCTGAGATTGAGCTGCACGTCTCCCTGCCTCGCTGTGGGCAGTAATGGAGCCCACGGAGGTGGTGGCATGTCCCCTGGCAGCACTTTTCTGTCCTGCTTACCTGGACACAATGGCGAATACATTTTCCAATCAGCTGATTAAAAAATAAATTGATCCAGCCTTGGATAAATATTTTTTTCAAAAAAAAAAAAGGAAGTTGCTTTCAATTTCACATTACCTGGAAATTGCTAAACTCAAGTGCTTTCCTGAGCTGAGAAGAGGTCTCTGCCCTAGGTCTTCAATGCCCATGGAGTAATTCCATCCCAACCAACAGTCCCAGGGGCCAAAGACCATCAGCCCCTCACTGGTTCCAGCTTGGAGAATTCCACGTTGGGGATCAGAGAGGTCAGGCTGCAAGGCACTGTCATCGAGTTTCCTGACCACGGCCGCTCTCAGGGAACCTGAGCTCGAGGTCAGGCCTTCTCAAGTGGGTCATTGGAGCCTGGCAGCTGCATTTGTGTATTTGGGGCAAATAAGGAAGGGTAAGGAAATAAGAACAACAATACAGGATAGATTTGGTTGATCCCCAGTCACTCTGCGAGGAGCAGACCTTGTTGTTTGAGGCGAAGCCTCTCTGGTCTCCAAAACCCTGGAACAAAGAAAACAGCAACCCGAGAGTCAAAACTGCCTGAAGAGTTGTTCGCAACCGTCCAGAAGTGGGCTCTTCCTTCACCGCGGGAGGTTTGGGTTTGACCCAGACGTCCCTGGTGCTTTCAGTTTAGATTCTCCTCATCTCCCTGGCTGCCCCATGGGACTGTTTCCACCTGTTAGATTTTTGCAAAGACTGTGGGTTCCTAAGACTGCATTTCCTGGCTGTGAGCTGTTGCTCCTGAAGTACAAGTTTTGGTGTTTGCAGTCTTTGGAATATTAACATTTTATAAAGCAGATGAAATATTTTAAATGGAAGCCTAGCTCACAATGATTGGATTCTTGAGTCAGTGTGTCAGGTATGCATGATTTTATTTAAAATGTGTCCAATCAGATTTTCCACTTGGAATGAACATTTTTACCTCTTTCCGCAAGTTATTATAAACAGTTATTTCCTCATTTCATGGAGTTTCTTAGAAAGTTCTAAGTAACTTAACAGAAGAGAAAAATGGAACGGCGGGAGATTAAATAACAGGAGGTTTACACCACACGAGGTGCCCGCGTCTCAACCGTGAGGGACACACATGTGACTACTTGGGGAGGAAACAGACCCGGCCATGCAAGTCAGGTGCAATCCCGTGGTCTCCTTTGGCAGCTCCGTCTCCCCGTCACTAGCACGCAGTCCAACGAGTCAGATGATTGCATGAGTGGGAGACTGTCCTGGCTCTGGTGGCAGGAGCACGAACACGCTGCTGCCACCGGTGGCAGTGTCTCCTCGTCTCTACCAACACCGCTGTCTCTGTCACTGCTCTGAGCCCCAGGGGGTGCACCTGGCATGCGTTTGCAGCGTCCCTGTCTCTCATGGAATGGCACTGGTTTATCTGGAACAGCAGCACACCACACAATCAGCATTGAGAGCACAAGGGAACCCAGTGGGTGGTCTTAATCACCAGAACCCGGCAATGTTAAATTGTTTTCATGAGCCGAAGGTCAGGGCACGGATGAGGTCTAAATGATGTCACAGCAGACCAGAGGCCACAGAAAGAAAGACATGTCTTCAGGTTGTGTTGACCTGCCGGGAAGAGAGACACAGACACAGGGCACAGCAAACAGGGGCCGGCCGGCCGCAGTGCGAGGTGCTCCTAGGAAACAGGAATGCGCCCTTTACATGGGGCTGGAGCTGGCGAGCACCGAGGCTCCCGCCTGCTCGCTGGAGCTGCTGTCATGGGAAGAAGCTAAGGGCCAGGTGCCGGGAGGGCGGGGACGGGCAGGCTGGGGAACGTCACCATCTCGACAGGTGTTCTAAAGCGCTTAGAGATGATCATTCATTTATCATGGAAACCTAACTCGAGTGGCATCCGCTCCCTTCTCTCTGTGAATGCACTTGTTCATAAATGACTTCAAGCCTCCTTGGCATTCAGGGTGCAGTTCTGGCTGGAGTAGAAAAGGATGGAGGGTGTGCAGTGTGGGGAGGAGAGGTCAGGGAGTCGGTGCGTGTGGACACGGGCGGGCGGTCAGCCGTCAGACACGGGCGGGGTGACCCAGCCGTATTTTTCGTGAGTCTTCACCAAGCTCTTAAAGGTGGCTTCGGCCTCCTTGCGACTGAAGGACTTTTTTGACTTGCCGGCTTTCCTGCAGATCCGTCCCTGCGTGAGATGAGAAGAGAGAGCAGGTTAGAACTTCAGCTGTCCTTCTGTCTGCCATCAGCTCTGCCTAAAACGCGGGAGGTCGCGGGACTTTCTGAATCAAGGTGACCTCGTGGCCATCAGCACGGGTGGGGCCTCTCGGCCGGGCAGACACAGAGCCAGGGCTGGCAAACCTGTCTTCACAGCCCACAGCCTTGGCCTCCTGAGTGTGCTCGCTCCATGAGGCAGGAAGCCGGCCTCTGCCCTCATCTCCAAGATGGCTGGCAGGACCAGCTGTGTGGGGCGAGCGTCCACTGGGAACCCAACAGTCCCCCTCTAAGGCGAATGAGCGGAAGGCTATGAATTCTGACTTCTGATTCCTCTTTGATAGCGGTGGGGGTAGTCAACTCCTGTCACTCATGCTGTGTGTATTACACAGCTGGGAGGTAGGTGAGGGGCAGGGGACAGGTCACCTCCCTGGCAGTGACCAGTGAGTGCTGGTCTGAGGACGAGAAGCTGGCTCTGCAGTGGGTGAGGGTCTGGACCCTCCCAAGGTGGCACAAGAAGGCTCTAGACTGTAAGAGAGGGAGCTGGGACAGAGTCTTGGAGAGTCCCCAGGGCACAGAGCACAGCGAAGGCAAGAACACACAGAAGACAATCAGCAGCCGGGGCAGTGCCTAGATGGACCTGCTGGGGCCCCTCGTATTCCAGCCTCAGTTATTCCTGAAACAGCCTCTTGATGGAGAATCACCTGAATCGCCCCCTCGGCCTCGTGGGTTCCTCTGTCCCCCTGAGCCTGGAGTAGGCTTAGGCTTTCCTGGGGATCCGCTCCTTTCCCCGAGTGACTCATGCAAGCGTTTCACACATGGGGCAGAAACCTCTCGAAAGATCTGGCTGCATTTCAACAACTAACAAGTGCCTTCTGATGATTACTGACTACCTCCTGCTGTTTATGGAGCTTTACTAAAGGCAGAGCTCTCTGAACGGGCCCACTGTGTTCCCCGTTGTAATGCTGTTTGCAGCAGCACTCGCTGTGGTGCCTTGAGCGGAACCAGGCCTCAGCACCCCCACCTCCTACACCATACTGCAGCCTGCCGCCCTGGACGGCCACCGTGGGCCGAACCGCCCGGGTCCCTGTGGCCGGAGGCAGGAGTGTCTCCCAACCTTAGCTCTCTGACAGTCCACAGTGGGAGAAGCTGGGCTAACCCCCGAACCCTCTGGCAAATGGTGCCCACACCTGAGGCCCGGGGGGACAGAATGCCGTCGTGCACGTCTGACTTAGGGCTGGGGCTCATTTCGTCAGTGGGCACACAGCGCGATCCCTGGCTAGGGGGCGGAAGTCCAGGTGGGCTGCGCTGCCCTGGTTGGGCAGCCCTCTCACTCTGTCCATCTGCCACCGGGAAGGGACACCTTTGGAAAGGGCGGCTGAGTTCCCATCAGCTGCACTGCAGGAAGGAGCAGGGAAAGTAGCAGACAGGAAGTCACTGGCTACTGACTGTCCCCCCAGTACGACTCCTGGTTTTGATTTCCTCACTCTGTCCCTTGCTGTCTGCTGCATCGTAAGTGACAGAGGGGACTGCTGAGAGCTACCACGTTCATAACCGTCACCTCCACATGCTGAGATGGGCCCCAGCTTGTTTCATTAAACACACGAGGCACATCTTTCTAGGGACATTGGTGACAATTCACGTGTCCCACGAGAGCTGGTAGCAAGGACTGGAGTTTTGGGGTGAAGTGCGTGTTTTCAGCGCCTCTTTCTTCTCTCCAGCGCTGAGGTGTGTGGTGTGACTTGGGGGTTGTGAGCAGAAGACACCTGGACAAGCTGGTCTGTGTGGCCAGAGGCAGGAGTGTTCCCTAAAAAGCAGAGTGACCTCGGGGTTCTCTGTCACGTTTGGCAGCAACGTCCACCTTGCCTGTCCTTTGTGAAAGTCCCAGCTCTTACAAGAAGCAGCAGAGAAACCCCCAAAGGAACAGGCCAGCTCGGTCGCCTTTTCTTCTCGGGGAATCATGAACAGAAAGCCCAGGGCTCGGTCAGTTCCACACGGGAGACAGCCGCCGCTGTCCTGGGCCAGGGGGTTGGGCGCCTCCCTCCTCTAAGCCGTCCCTGGGGAACCCCCAGCTCCAAGTGCTCCCCACACTCCCAGTTCACAGACCCCTCTTCACCGATATCCATCTGACCTCTCTGGAGGGACCATTCCAACATGGCACACCATGTCCCCACTCTGTAGGGTGGCTGAGCTGTTCCTGTTGAGATGTTCCTCATGCTGCTGCTGGCATTCGGGGACTCTCCTTGCTTTACACTGGCCTCCTGAAACTTGGTCTTTTGGGGATTAAAGTGTGGTCAGTACCCGCTGCAGCATCACCGTGCCCAGGAGAGAGCGGACTTGCAGACCCAGCACGCTGTAGTCTCCTCTCCCACCTTGGGGTCTCTTTGAGCTGAGGTCAGGGACCAGCCCGGGACACTTCCCTGCGGGAGCTCCTGCCCTCCCTCCGCCCACCCGCTGTGCTCAATGCTGACAGGAAATTCCTGCCCGGTAGCGGCTGGCCACCACCCAGAGTGGGAAGGGTGCTCTCCAAGCCCTCTCGGGAGCCCTCTCAGCGTGGGACTGTGCCACCGCAGCCTCAGACGTCCTGTCCCGTGCAGAGGCCTCCCGGCTGCATCTGTCCGAGGGACCGTCGGGGACGCTGTACCCTGAGCTCTCGTTTTCTCCCTTTTGGGGTCAGCCGCTTTATTCAGTACGCAGACATTTCCTTCAGCTAATGAGTCTCCGTCCCGGGCTGGTCCACCCATTCCATGCTGGGTGCTGCGAGGCAAAACCAGGTGGCCTTGGGGGCCACGCGGGGACAGACGGATGGATGTACCATAGCCGCTAGGGCTGACCTCTGGGCTGGGAGACTTTGTGGTGGGTGGTCCTGGGCAGGGCGCCGGGGACCCATGCCTGGTCTCGCTGGCCAGATGCCAGGGCACCCCTGAGCCGTGACAGTGAACTTGTCTTAACCGTGTCACGTGCTCCCACAGGAGGGACCCCCTGGCACGCGGGGCAAAGATGCCGACGAGCCCAGTCCTCAGCCCTCTAGCAGGTGACTGCTGCCCCCCTCAGAAGGGGGCTGGTGGCTGGCACTGCAGGGCTTTCCAGAGAAAGGGTTCCGGTCCTCACGGAACTCAGAGCCCCAGGGTACGAGGGGTTCTAGCTTAGGGCAAAGAGGAGAGGAGGGAGGAGGGCAGCAAGAGGGTCCTGGGGGTCTGTCTGTCAAGGAAGATTTCTGTTTGATGGCACTTAAGCTGAGCCTTGAAATCAACTTCAGTACAGGCTCAAATCGCCTGCTACATTCTGGGGACAATGAGCACATGCCCAGTGGGTTTGGGAATGGAATGTTTAGGCTGTGCGTGGGTGCTAGTTGGGGGAGGAGTGGCAGAATTCAACAGGCCTGGCTTCAAATCTCTTTCTGACTGTGTGACCTCAGGTAACTTACTTAACCTCTCTGAATCTCAATTTCCTCATCTGTAAATTAAGTATATTAATAGTATTATACAACACTGGAGTTTTATAAGGATTTAACAGGTTAAAACATGTAAGATGCTTGGCCTGGTGCCAGGATTAGGGTTAAAAACAATAAATGAGGCTTTTTATTTTTTAAACTATCATGGAGGGTTGCATCTTTTCATTAAATCTACTTTTATTCTGCCTTCTTGAAAAAGCAAAACATTTCTGTCTTTTAATGTGGATATTGTGATTCTATATATTTGGTCCCCAAAATGTCTTCAGGCAAATCCAACCTAGTGTGTTCACATGTTTAATCTCAGCCTTTTAAATCATGTCCATTCCCAGTGGTCCATATTCTTGTATCCAAACCTATATTCTCACTTGATTAGATTTTTCTTTTATTTTCCTTGCAAACATACCCTCTTGGTATTTCTGTGTTTCACCTGTCTGTGAATTACAGGGGTAGGCTCCCTAGAAATAGTCGAAACTTCCAGACTCCTGTGTAAAGCTTTGAGGTCCCCGGGTGCGGTTCCTGAGCCTTGGATGGCGGAGCCGCGGCTGGTGGTGAAGCCTTGGTAGTTCAGTCCCGCGATGGGCCGTGCTCGTTACAGACTCGCCGTCCCGCGGGACCTGGGGAGCAACCTGGAGCTCCTGGGCTTGAAGACGGCAGCGCACAGTGGTGCTGCAAGGAGGTGCCTTTGGAAGACACTGGGATCCCTTTAAGGGTGTCCGTAAAAGCCCGTGTGTGGACATAGAGGTGACATCCAGACAGCAAGGACGGAAGAAAGTGTATCTGCAGTGCACTGACCAGGGACCAGAGCCCAGCAGGGGCCTGGAGGCCGCCTCTTGCTGAGTAGAGGGAGCCCCGGGGGCATGTGCCAGGTGGAGGGCGGCAGCCTCCACCTTCAGGCTGGGGGGCTTGGTGCCTGTCATCGGGACTCTGCCCAGCAGCAGCCCACCCTGAGGAAAGGAGCAGGGTCTCGAGGATGGGGCCCATGGGCTGCCTGGAGCAGCACGGCTTCTGTCCACAGTCCAACTCCCAGAGGTCGCAGAGCCCATCGCCTCCGCCGGGTGCCGCTGACCCAGGCTGAGCACATTCCGGTGGGTAAGTTGCCATGGGCAGCTTTGCACACGGCCCAGGGCAGCAGAATTCCAGCCCAGCCTCAGGGCTTGCTGGGAATCCGAGCTTCCATTAGGTGACTTACAACAGGCTACGGCAGAGCTGGGGTTCCCACCTGGGTCCTGGGGCCAAAGCCCGGGTCACCCACAAGACCTCGTCAGAACCAAAAGAGAGAGTCACAGCTGGGTCTGTGGAGCCTGGGGGGACGCACCGGCCTGTGGGCCACCTCCGGGAAGGCCAGCCTTCCTGCTCTCACCCCTCCCCACAGGTTCCTTGGCTGGTGCCTGGCGGAAGCCCCCACCCAGCACAACTCTTGTTTCTTTCATTATTTAGGCGTCCATGTCCCCCACCAACACAATCCTCCAAAAGTTTCAGATTTCAAGGCGTTTCTCAATTTCAGATTTTTGAGTTTGAAA